TGAAGAATATATTTCAGTCTAATGTTAGTGCAAATTATCATTAGGCCTTTGTAATCACCGCACGACTAACATGGCAACTAACACGCGCGTGGGTAAATCGTCACGTACGCTGACGGTTTATGGTCTGGTTGCTATGGTTTTTGTGATGTTCAGCGTGTAGGGACGCACTTGCGCCTAGAATGTCGATGCCAGAGTTATTGATGTCCCGAGATGTGCGTCCTTTTGTTGAATTACCTTGATCGGCCGACGCTGTCTGAGTTGGCCTTTAGAGCTAATAACTATGCATACACCACATACACACAACATAGGTTTATATCGATTGACCTTGGATACGGGGATGGGCAGGGCATACTACAAGATGGCTTATTTGTTGGCCTATAGGAAAATAGGAATAATTCACATATTACTTTTAATACAGAAACACAACAGTTATATCGTGTGGTGTTTACTATGTGATTGCTGAAAGAGCTCCATATCGAATATCCACAGTCGAGATACATATAAGCTTCCCCAGAGAACCGGTAAGAAATTTATTCATTTACCGAGGGTGACACAAAACAGCGGTATGTAACGACCATGGGCCCTCATGTGAAAAAATTACTGTTCGAAGAATCACAAAAGCTGTAAAGAAATAAATAAAAATAAAGTACAGTAGTTTACAATTAGAAATATATATATATATATAGTAGTATCTCTTATTGTACTATTCCTGTCTCTTATACACATCTAGATGTGTATAAGAGACAGATATAAATCATCAATGAATGTTTTATGTACAATGAAATAAACAATTCATTGAATTACCCAATGAAAATAAGATTAATAAGAAAAATATCGAATCTATCAAAAATAAAGTTTATAGCATTAAATAGTAATTTATAAAAATACATAGGCCTATTATTTTATCTATAAAAAAATCATTATTTAGTAGTCAGAAAAAATATGAAAAAATGGTTAAAATAAAACGATAAAGATAAAAATTCATTGCATTATATAGGCCTAGTCATTTAGAAAAATACAAGTTATTTTATCAAAACATTAGTCATCAAAATAATAATTCAATATATTTGGACCTCTTTACAAATTAAAATCATGAATAATAAAAAAAAAAGATATTAATGGATTTTACGGAAAAAATGAGATTAAATAATTATCTATAAAAAATCTATTAACATTAATTATAGTTATCTATAAAAAAAATAGTAATAATTATTTTATCAATCAAAGAATAAAATTTAGTAATTCAAAAATCAATTAAAAAAGGGGGAAAATCAGAAATACTTTAACAATATACAATAATGAAAAACGAATACGGTTTTAAAAAGGAACACTATAATTGTACTTTCCATTGTTAATAAAATGTTATTAACAATTAATTCTGTTAATTGTGTGTTTAAGTAGCTAACTTTTATATATTTATGATTTTCAAAATTATGAATTATATTGACAATAATTCATCATGTAAAGATGATAGAAAATATAATAACTCAAAATAAACAAGGTTATTATTTATAAGATTTTTAAAAATATAGTTGAACTTGCCTTAGTCAAATCCAAAATGGCATTGACAAATTGTCGACTTAGATAAAATTCGACTTACAGATTGTTAATTAATGGAAAACACAACAATTTGGCATGTAAAATAAGATCGACTTAGAAATTATTTGAGTTAGGCAAAGTCGACTTAGGCGACTTAATACATTTGATACCTCGATAATGTTTGCATTTAAACTACTTTATTTCAACCGTTCCGTATCAGTACTACAACTTTTATCATATTGTGTATTTTCTTCTTTGAAGACGTTTTTAGATGCGAAGAACAACAATCTTAGGACAGAGAAAAGATGTCAGTATATCGATGAAACGCTTCTGTACGTATCTCTGTTATTTGCTTCCTGACGAAACAGTAACAATATTTTACTCTTTCTTATCAGGACTAAATCGCTCACATCACGAACTAACACAATCAAAGTAGGTTGTGTTAGTTCGTGAAATTACAGTAGCGCGTCAAAACGAGCGCGTATTGGTTGTCAAGCAATTTTGTATTCTTTACCACACAAAAAGTCCTTAACAACAACAGCGCGTATTTTGATGCGCTTTTTGATTTGTGTTAGTTCGTGATGTGAGCGACAAATTGTATTAAGCCTGGCACTCACTGCGCCCGACGGTCGTCTGCCGACGCGATTCTATGAAGAATGCAACTCGTTTTTAATGATGATCCGTTCAGACGACCACTGACAATCAGCAGACGGCGTAGCGTCGTCTAGCGCTCACAGGGAGCGGAGTTGGATTCGCCGTGCGACGGTCGTACCGTCTTGTATCTTAACGTACGGTATCGTATCGTAATTGTATAAAAAAACAAAATGTTAGCAATTGGTGGGTGGGGGGGGGGGCGTGCCCCCTTGAATCCGCCACTGATTTCCGATCAAAGCCGAAGGCGAGATTGCTGCCACGATCCCAATGAATTATTTATCATGAGGGGTATCCTTGATATGGGTATTTTCCGACGAAACCTTCACTTTTCCCCCGATGGATAAAAATTACCATTCTATAATAGCTCGAAAATGATAATCCAACTCTGGCGTGTCCAGAAAGTCGAAATAGGGAGGACCCAGAGATTGTCCACCCCGCGCTTCCACCGCCGCCGTTGAATACGATCCGATAAAATGCTGATATATACCCGAGATAGGCATGAAATAGGCCTATACGTCTGTCTTCTCAAATACGTTTAATCAATGTATATTTATGTTTCAGAGAATGGTTGGATGTTGGATGCAGAGGCAGTGATGATAATACATGTTCCTGCAGTCACACCACCAATTTTGCAATTCTCATGAAAATTGACGAATGTTATGTAAGACATTTTTACATTGCCTACCTGCAAAAGAGACTGTACACTGATTCCGACGCGTGATCCTACGGGAACGCAACTCGACGACGACACGAGGCGCGTGCAACGGAGTAATTTTAATGACAACCAGTAGCCTCTACCCCCACCGCAGTGGCGGATCTAGGATTAAGCAGTGGAGGGGCACGAGCGGGGTGGGGGTGGTTTTGGGAGGGGATCCCTTCACATTTGAGATTTTATTGGAATTAGTAAACTGCTAGACGATTTTAGGTGGCATCTGAAAAGAAGTAGGGCCTAAGCTTAAAATAGAAAGTTTAGGCCTATGTTTTACCAGAGTACCATTATTTTATTTTCGGTAAACGAAGGTGGGGGGGGGGGGGTGGAGTGGCTAGTCACCCTATTCTCCCCTAGATCCGCTACACCGACAAATAGTAGGTGGCGGCATCGCACGTCGTCAAGCTCCCACACACAGCGGATAGATTCACAGCCGACGGTCGTGCGACCGACCGTCTCGCGACGTACCGTGGTGTGTAGTGTAGTGTAGTGTCGGCCGACGTAGTGTGTTTTAATTCATTTGTACAAGCTCCACGCAAGAAGCAGTTATATAGGTCTATGCTATGTAAATTGTCAATATGCGAGACCTATAATATTTTGATCATTTATGTTTAACCAAATCTCTTTTCGTAATGACGACAGATTGAAAAAAAGTACGCAAAAATTCTTAACATTCTGACATACACATGTCTTAGTGTATCAAGCGGATGTCTAACAGTGGTGGTCTTCACAACCGTCTTCCTTAGGTACGTTTCATTTGTTACGAAAACTGTGCTGACTTGAGAAACACATTTTACAGACGAATCTTGTGTAGTATCTCTTATTGTACTATTCAAATGAAACACCGAAAGTCCAACTGACCTGTAAGACAGTCTTAATAAAGAATAACAGTATCAGTACCGATTGTACAGTGGCGTATCAAGGGGGTGCGTGGGGTGGGGGAGGGGAGCGCACGCCCATCCAAAAATTACACACGCCCGCCCCCAGTCGCCCCCAAAAAAATCACGGCCAAGTTGTTAAAATTACCTTAGATCATCTTATTTTGCGAGTTAGCGCCCCTCAACGAATCATCGAGCCCCCCCCCCCCATGTGCACCCCCACTTCAAGATTTTTAGATTCGCCACTGGTATCCATATAGTATCAGTAACACCCTCAAATATTATCTTTAAGGGAATTGAACAAAAGTATACGTTTTATCATTATTCGGAATATGAGCATTGGGCTTTTAATAGTCAACGCATTGGTGGGATTTGCATCTCTTATGGCAGACATAAAGGTAATTATTTCTTGTACAAACGTACTTCTTGAAGCCTTTCGTATCAAAGAGAAAGAAGTATTAATAGAATGTTTTGCTGCTCAAAATGTAGGCCAGTAATAACTTAGAACAAACGTTACTTTTATCATGTACGGTAGATATTATGCGGTGTTGTAACTGCGGGGCTACACTACTCTTTACTCGCTGTGTTCTGTTGGATGTCAATTTATACGACCGATATGTTCATGAAAGTGGTGAATACGTTTGCTGACCACGATGGGAGGCTAAGGTTCTATCGCCTGCTGGGATGGGGCGCACCATTGGTCATTGTCGGTGCTACTGTGGCAGTTACGAGAGAGGACTACGCATCGGATAAGTATGCATCGTTTGATTTTTTTAAAATAAAATAAAAACATCTCTAAACACTTGTCTGAATAAAAGATTACACAGGGCCGGCGGAACGTTTTTCAAAGTGGGGGAAAGGCCACTTATAAGATGAACGGGAATATGAATCACGTAGATCTGGAATCAAACCTAGGGGGTGGGGGTAAATATTTTTTCCAAACACGAAAGGGGATCCAAAACAATACGGCATGGCTTATTTTAATATCAATATAGGGCACACGCGTGTATTTGGAACTAAATATAAGCATTTTCATCGTGGTTTTATTTATTACAATTCAGGCCTATTCTTTCACCATCATTACACATCGAGGCCCTTCTTTTAGGTAAAACGATCTATCTTAAATTTTTGGGACTATTATGTTTTTGAATAACTTAGAAGGCAAAGGAGGGCAAGCACAAGCTTCAACCCTAACAAATGCGAAAAATTTTTTTGTGCTTTTAATTCTAATTTCGTCGGAATTGATCAAAACTCCCTAATTGTGCAATTTTTAGAGGAAATTGGCCTACCTCAACAAGAAATGCTCTTATGTTATATATGGCCCCACTCGTTTTTTTTAAAACTGAATATAAGTATTTTCCTTATGGCTTTATTTATTACAAACATATTCTTTCAACATCATTACACATTGAGGCCCTTTTTTAATAGGTTAAATTTTCTTTCTTGAGTTTGGGACTATGTGTTATAACTTAGAAGGCAAAGGTGAGCAAGCACAAGCTTTTACATAAAAAATGTGCGCGAAGCGCGCGAAAAATGTTTGTTTTTTAAATTCTAATTTCGTTGGAATTGATCAAAACTCCCTAAAATGTGCAATTTTTAGAGGAAGTTGGCCTACTTCAAAAAAATATGCGATTTAAAATTTGAGATTTTCAGGCACTTTCCCGGGTGAAAAGGGCATTCAATGGGGAAAGACTTTCCACAGCTGGATATTTTCCCCTTGTCCCCCGGTTATTACGCCACGGAGAATACCTGGCGGCTTATAGATCAAATGCGCTATGGACACTTTTTGAAGTGGAGAATGGGTTGCAGGCAGGGGTATTGTGATATCTGTTCATTATATTAGAAAAACATATCCGCAAATATTTTGAATAACTTTTAACTAAACAACTCATTTTAAAATCGTATGCCAAAAATTTCTCCAGTATTTTTACATTGCCATATTGCATTATAGATGATTGTGTAACCACAATGTTGCTTATAAAAAATGTTTTTTTTCTTTGTGATGAATAAAGGTGGGATGACCCCACAAAAGATAAAAAAGTTCTTCAAAATTCAAGGTTTTCCACTCTTGAAAACTTTCAGATAATTTTTTCCCATTGTTATTACAGTAAATAGGCCTTATGTGTGTATACATACATAAAAAAAAGATTGAGTAAGTTGCATACAGTAGAAGTTGCATACGTAGTTTTTCCATGAATCGATAAATCCCAAAAAGAAAGGTGGGGGTGGGGAGGTCCTGTGGTTCTTCCCCGGGAAAATTTTGATTCCTAGATGACGGGAAATGAGCTTTCCCCGACTTTTGTGGTGTCTTTTAATGACTTTTAAATTCTTCAAAATTCGAGGTTCCCCCCCCCCAACCCCTTGAAAATGATTCAATTAATCAATGAACTCCAAAGATAAAGGGTCCGGGTTCCCCGGAAAAATTTCGATTTCTAGTTGTCAGGAGATGAGCTTACCTGACTTCTGAAATGTCTTTTAATGACTTTTAAAGTTCTTCAAAATTCAAGGTTTTCCCCTCTTTAAAAAGGTCAGATAAATTTTTCTCATTTTTTATTTTATGTGTGTATACATACATAAACAAATGAGTAGTTGCATGCGTAATTTTTTTTCCATGAATCGATAAATCCCAAAAAGAAAGGGTGGTCCGGGGGTTCTCCCCCGGGAAGATTTTAATTCCTAGATGGCGGGAATTGAGCTTTCCCGACATTTGAAGTGTGTTTTAATGAATTTTATGTTCTTCAAAATTCTAATTTTCTAATAGCAAAAAAAAAAAAAAAAAAAAATCAGCTCACGGGTCCTGAAAAGGTAGGTCTAGAATCCTTTTCTTTTTCCCCTT